AGAGTGACTGAAAATTAAAAGAGAAATCCCGTGAACGAGGAGGCCACAGGAGAATGACGTTCCAGTTCCTGTGTATAAATCCCCCCTCAGTCCTGGGTGACTCTAAAGTGTGCATGCAGAAAGTTCCAAGGGTCTCGTGAGGACCAAAAGCCTCAAGACTGAAAAGGCTGAGCAGACTCTTTCAGCTTCTGTCCACTGCAGAAAAGATTGTGTTTGAACTTTTAATGTCATCAATTTAGGGGGACTTGATAAACATATTAGGCTTTTCACTGAAACCTCAAGAGGGCCACATCTTAGAAGTAAAGATCAAATTGAGGTTTTTCCCTAAGAATAAAGTCAAAAGATAAACAGATCCATACTAACAAAGTGTAAAAAACAAGCCAGCACCAGGTCACGAGGTTCAGCCAGTAAGGTAACTGCCTCTAGAACAAAATCAACACTCTTCAGAAGTTCATATTTTATAGTATGTCATCTGCAAGGTCCATGTACAGTAAAAAATTACTAGGCGTAAAAATCAAGCAAGACAATAACAAAATACTAGAAACAGAAGACACAAGGTCAAGAGAAAAGGAAATCAGTAGAAATAGACCATTAGATGACACAGATGTTAAAAATAGGGGACAAGGACTTTAAAGCAGCTATTAAAACATGTTCACAAACTTAAATCAATAGAGTCATAAAAAAAAAAAAACATAAGGGAAAATTTCAGAGGAAAGTGGAAAATGTCAAAAATAAAAAAAGTGTATTACATGAAATAAATAATTCACTGGATATTTCCATTTCTGCCCATGAAGAGATAACAAGTATTTACATGTAATCTCACCATAAACAAGTAGAAAACTAGGCAAAGTATATGAAACAAAAAGCAGGAATGTGAGAAGAGAGAAATAAACAAGGTTAACCTTACCATTATCATAGATTTCTATTTGGAGACAATTTAAAGAATAACCAATAATAACTCTTTCGTTAGTATATTGGCATTTATTACATGCATATAAGTAAAAGGCATAATAATCACAAAAAGACTGAGTGAAAGGAAAATGGAATTATATTTTCTAAGATCCTTGTATTATAAGCAAATCCTAGAGTAACCATTGAAAAAAGAGGTATACTAATAATCCAATAGTAGTCATAACTACTATTAGTAGTCATATAATACAGAAACTTTTTTAATTCATTCAAAAGAAATCAGGAAATTAGGTAAATGAGAACAATGTTAGAGATAATAATAGTAAGCCCAAAAACATCAAATGAATTAAAGATAATAGTTTAAACAAACCACTTAAAAGGCAAAAATTGTCATAATGGATAAAAAAGCAAGAGCTAACTATATATTTTTAAAAATATATAGAAACCTTAAATACAGAGAAACAGTGGTTAAAATAAAAGAATGGAAAAAGCACAAACCAAGTTAACATTTATAAGATGATGTGGCTATACCAGTATCAGATAAAGTAAATTTCAGGACAAAAATCTTACTAGTAAATAAAGTAAGGCATTTCATAATGGTAAAGGGTAAATTCATTAATAAGATATAACAATATTAAAATGCATTCACTAAAAACAGAGTAACACAATAAATAAAGTATCTTATATACAGAAAAGAGAAATGCACAAACATAATTTTAATAAATTTCCAGATTCTATTTGTATTAGTTAAAAAAATAAATAGAAAAAAACCAAAGACTTAAATAATACTACCAACTAATTTGACCTGACATTAATTGAACATCCTACTCTAAAACAGAAAAATCCACATACTTTTCAAATGTACAAGGAGCATTCACTAAGAGCAAATGCTAGGGCATTAAAATAAATTTCCATATTTAAAAGGCCATATTCATACAAGGTACATTCTCTGACCTTGGTGGGATTAAATTAGAAATCAGTAATTTAAAGCTATTTGGAATAGCCCAAAACATTAGGAAATTCAACAATGCACTTCTAAATAACCTCTGCAAAAAACAGAAATCATTAGGGTAAGTGAAAAGCATTTTCAACTCTATAATTAATAAAATAATAATACATCAAAAATTGTGTTAGAAGTTATTAGGTAAAAGTTATTAAGTAACATAATATATAAAAATTATAAGATTCAGCTGAAGAAGTACTTGGAGAGAAATTTATCACTTTTTGGGAAATTTATGACTATTAATATTAGAAAGAAGAAAGGTCCAAATAATTCGTATCTGTTTCTATTTTAAGAAGCAACATGAAAGTAGTTGAAAAAATAGCACAAATTGATTAAATAAAACTAACAAAGTCAAAAGCTTGTACTTTGAATAATAACACTGGTAAGTCCTTGTGTGGACTGATTAAAACTGGAGAGAAGGGGACTGTGAGGACAATAGAAAAGGAGAAGAGAGAAAACATAAATCTCCAGTACATGAGAGTGATGGAGGTGGTGTTAATACACCTCTTGCAAATATTACAGTTAAAAATTATAAATAAATAAAAAGATATTGAAAATAAGCATATGCTAATACATTTAAAAAATTAGGATAAGAGAGATTCATTGGTAAGCAAAAAACAAAAATCAATTTACCACAACCAACATAGAAGAAATAAAAACCTGAAATAAGTGTAAATTCATAAAAAATAAAGAAAACTCTAGGAACAAATATCATTGCTGAGTTCTAGAAAGTATTTAGGGAAGACATAATACAAGGCCTTAAAACACTCCTGAAAACTATAAAGGAGGAAGGAATAAATCCCAACCCATTTTATAATGTCAGCCACCTGGATTCCCAAACCTGCACAGACGTTAGATGGAAAGAGAATCACCAATCAATATCCCTCACGATCAGATACAAAATTCTGTATGAAATGTTAGCAAATCAGATCCAGTTATATCTGTAAAAGGCATCATATGTCCTGACCAAATGGGATTGATTCCAGTAATGCAAAGCTTATTTATCTATGAAACCATTCAATAGAATTGACCATATTAACATAAGTAAGGAGAAGGAAAACAGGTGATTATCCAAATACATTCAGAAGAAGTATTTCATAACTATTAAAATAAATAAGTGAGGTTAATAAGGTAATAAGACAGCAGAACAAAATATAAAATTTAATGTATGTATAATATAAAATAGTTGGAAGAGAAAATTTTATAAATCTACTTAGTATAAAAAAATCAAATGCTCAGAAACAAGTTGGACACAACCATACTATAAAAACCCCCAAATATTGTTGAAAGAAAATAAAGGTAAATAATGGAGAGGTACATCATGTTTCTGGGGAGAAAGACTCACTATTAAAATGTTTAATCTCTCCAAGTTGATGTACAGATTCACTGTGTTTTTAAGAAACAATTTCAACACAATTTTGTAGAAACTGACAAGCTGATTTGAAAAGTACATGGCAAAGCAGGTCTGCCATAGCCAAGACGATTTTGCAGAAGGAAATTACGGAGTGTTCACATTACCTGATCTCACGACTTGCTATAAGCTACAGTAATCAAGACAGTGGCTTGGCAGATGGACAGACATATAAAGAAATGGAAAAAACTGGGGAATCCAGGAACATATCCATACAGATATGGTTAACTGGAGAAAGTGAAGCCAACAAATGATGCCAATGCAATTTGATATATATTTGGAAATAAATAAGCTTCAACCCTCAAACCACATGTAATTACTTGAAGATGAATCAAGACTTAAGCATAAATGTTAAAATTATAAAGCTTCTAGAAGAAAATATCTTTACTATTTAGAAGTAAGACACAATTTCTTAGAAAGCGCCAAACATAAAAAATTAATTTGATAAACTGTAGTTCACTAAAATTTTAAATTACTGCTCGTCAAAAGATTATTGCGGAAATGAGTAGAAATTCCTAAACAAGCAAAAAGTGTTTGCATTGCAAATACATGGCCAGGAATGTATGCACAGAATGGTTATATAACTCCTCCTAATCAAGAACAAGAGACAAACAACATCATTTTAAAAAGTCCAAGACTTAGAGATTTTACAAAAGAAAATATGTGAATGTCCAATACACAAATGTAAATTTGTTCACCATCTTTAGTCGTTGGAGAAAACTGAAGTGACGTCCTGTTTACACTCACAAGAATCGCTAAAATTACAGACTGGCAACAACAAATGTTGACACCTTATAGAAATACTCGAAGTAATAGTCTTTGTTAGTGAGAATATAAAATCATGCAATTTGAAAAAAATTGTTTAAAGTCTGTTATAAAGTCAAAGTATATCAATCCTATTACCCAGACATTCCAATTCTAGTTATTTCTCCCAAAGAAATTTAAAAAATATGTCCTCAATGGTTTACCCAAGAATGTTCATTTTCTGAAGAGAAAACAAAGAAATAAAATATGATATATTCACACAAATTAGTACTACTCAGAAATAAAACATACGAATTGCATAATAAATACATGGGTGAACCTCAAAAACATTATATTTAGTCGAAGAAGCCAGATGCAAAATATTATATTCTGTACTATTCCGTTTATATATATTTCAGGAACAGGCAAACATAATCCGTAGTGATGGGGAACAATTTTCTGTAATAATGATGGTAGATTAAATTGGGATTTCTTCTTTGGGATAGTATATTCAAATTACAAAGTCTTTTTTGGTCTGTTTCTGGTTGAATTTTGACTTTTTATTTTTGGCTAAGAGAAAGCACATAGATATGAAACATAATGCACTTTCTTTTGTAATTGCTTCACTTCCTATTATATTTCAATGACATCAAAATTACTAATGAAATTATTGATTAAAAATAATTTTCAAACAACCTTTCAGTAGTTAAACTTAGCAATGATTTTAGGAAGTTTATGGGAGTCTTAAGAGCACGAGCAATTGCTGATCATTTTTGTAAGAAACTCTAGTCGGCTAACCCATTTGCCTATATGATGTGTGCACCCTCTCGCTCACTACTGCATAGCCACTGTCGGAAGGCAGATTCAAAGAACAGCCTGCTTTGTTACCAGCTGATTGATTCTGAAGCACAGACGACATAGGTTGGTACTCACCAATTATTATTGGTTGCGGTTCACTTTTTACTCCAACCCCTGCACTGGTACTAGCTGCAACCTCTACTCGGTACTGAATACCTGGGAATAATCCACCAATTATTACAGACCGAATGGCTGCATCCACAGTTTTGTTGATATGAAATCGTGTTTCATTCCCCAGACACCAGATCTACAGAAATGTAAAGTGAATAACAAAAGAAGGTAAAATTATCTTTTCTGGCAATTCGATCAATATAATAGACTAAATTGTTTTTAGTAACGATCAATCTACTTTCTAGGCTTATAGAAGTATACGTAATTGACATTTTTTTAAAGCCTAGTTTCTGCAGCCTGTGTGGGTGTTTGTGTGCGTGTGCATTAAGGAAAGAACAATAAGGAAGCTGGAACTAAGCCATGTTCCTTTATATCTGATAATCAACAGTGCTCAAAACATAATAATTCCCTTAACGGCTCTAGAATGTGGTCCCTGGTTAAAAACAGTTTTTGCATATGGATTAAAACATAAATTCCTCTGCTTAATTTACTTATCAAGATTTATTATATATATAATCTATTATAAATATGGTGATCTACAGAATGAGCTGTGATATTCAAAGTATGTAGGTGTACATCTAAGTAATTTATATTTCATTTAAGAAAATATTAACTTAGAAGTACTTAACAAGATTAATTAACTTAAGTTATAGGTATTGACTGAGATGAAATTAAAGTGAATATTTACATCGACAGTAATGTCTTAATATTGATCAATATATCTACAGACACATACACATGCATGAGAACAACACGGCAGGAAGCCTTTAAATACTGGTATGAGGAAAGCTGAACTTGTACTTCTAGTAAGAATCAAATGATGAGGCATACTTTCTTCTGGGATATGGAAATTTGTTACTATAAAATGTGTTATACAAAGAATTGTGCTATATATACATATTTTTATTCATAGTATATAGTATTTTATAATCTAGACACATAAAGGGGTTTATTTCTGACATAGGTAAATTACTGAAGCTACTTCTTTAAAATAATTTCTGTGAATTAATTGCCCTGCCAGTGTGCTTCAGTGGTTGAGCATTGACTCACGCACCAAGAAGTCGCTGGTTTGATTCCTGGTCAGGACTCATGCCCAGGTTGTGGGCCCAGTCCCCAGTGGGGGGCATGCAGGAGGCGGCCACTTGATGTTCTCTCTCATCAATGTTTCTATCTCTCTCTCCCTCTCCCTACCTTTCTCTCTAAAATCAACAAAGAAAAAAAATTATAAAATAATTTTTGTGAATTGCGTATTTTCCTGATTTACACTATGCTACCTGTGTTACTATGAAGGAATATTTAGTTCTGACCTAAATATATATTTTGTTACCAAAATATGACAATCTCATGTGATTGAGAAAGGTTATAATTGATTACATAAATTATCATGTTGTAAAAAATTCAATTTTCAAGTAAATGGAAGTTTAAGATATTTAGTCTCAGATAATACAATAGTAAAATCCTAACCTTATTAAAACACACACATACACACCATAGCAGATTATCACTGCCCTTAAAACAATGTGTCCTAACACTTGTAAAACTTTAGAATCTACATAATTATCCTATTTTAAACCACCTTATTCTTGTATTTCTTATACACATATCTTCATTAAGTGCTTATGCATATTCTCCCCATTTGCTTCAGTAAATTAATCATTAATTTAGAAAAATTCTATTTTAAATTTTTTATTTTTTCTTAGAAAAAAATAATTCAATATGCAATATTTTGAGTAAAATAATTCAGCTTAACTTCATGTACCAACTATTAATTTCTGTAGTCAAGTGAGTTGTCTCATTTTCCATTCCAATAGTTTATTATTGTCAGAATTACATAAACATTTATTAATAGCAAAAACTTCTAGTTTTAAATTCTTTGTGAGATTTAATAAGGAGGCATTTTGCTCTTACATGTAGTCTAGTTACATCGCCTAATTAGAATCTTATTTCTCAAAGTTATATATTTTTGTCTCTTAAACATCAAGTGATGATGAAGAAACATAGATATATACTGTTTTGAAATAGCAACTAGTTCAGCTGAAATATGAGATAATAAACCATCTTTTGGTAAGAGAGTTTTTTTCAAAATTTGTTTTTTTAATGACTTCCTTTTTTGAGTGAAATATATTTTACAAGACTTCAGTAAACTGATCATAGCAGAACTTAGAGTAGAATTTGGTGCTGCCCACCCTCCTTGTCACACCCCAAGTCTCTAAACCCCTGAAGCATCTTTTTCTGAGAACACAAGTTAAAAATGCTTCTGTTAGGTGTGTTACACAGAAATCAAATAACAACAACAACAAAAACAAAAACAAAACAAAACAAAACAAAAAACCATACTTCACTGTATGGTTTACTTGTACAACTGAATTGGTGTTATCTGTGACCTTAGACTTAGCTTCCACTCCCCTATCCATCTGTTTCTTGACCTGTCACGCAATCATATAACAATTAATTTACACTCAAACTCAAGAAGAAGGACACTGAGACTTCTCCAGGAAAGCCCTGTGGGCTGTCCTCCTGCACACAGGCCTACCTTGTACTCCTGGATAATCCCATTTTGATGATCTGGAGGAGGAGGATCCCAGGAAACACTAATACTTGTGCTATTGTGGCTTCCAACAGTCAGCACAGTGACAGATTGTGGAGGGGCACTTGGGGCTACAGAGGGAGTAATGAGAATAAACACACACTGTAAGTCTTGGTGCATTGACACTGCCTGCAGAGTATGAATGTGAAGACAAGATGCGTGAGGCTCTGGCTTCTAGTAGTTCTAAATGTGCATATAGAATTCAACAGTGACAATTTTTATAAAATATCCTTTCAATATAATAGATGGATTTGAAGCAAATACAATAACTATGGTAATATGTACTGGATAATAAATGTAACAGCTCACATCCTGATGAGCATTTTCTATATTCCCAGCACTGAGCTAAATGTTGGATTTAATTCTCACAATAATCTCAGCAAGTAAAACCAACAAGGTAGAATCTGACCACAAGCATGTTAATTCTAGAACTTTGATTCTTTTGATTCTAATAGGCTTTCTTTCTGAAAACAAAACAAAACACTGCTATAAAAATATTCTGAAAGGTTGTATTCCAAAAGTTCATCAGTTATTATCTCTGAGTGGTGACATTATTGACAATTTATTTCATTTTAGTTTGAGTTTAATAAATAACAGAAGTACAGCCATAAATTTACCAATAAAGAAAAAAATACTTGTATTTTCATATTGGGAAAAAAACCAAACTGCTCTAAATTGACTCATAATTTAAGAGTTCAGACTTATTTTTATATTGATGGGCAAGGAACTCTGAAGATATAAATGAAAACAATTCATGTTGGGTTAAATGTGACATGGACAAATTTTAATTCCTTACATTCTCTTCTTTTATTGTTTCTCCTGTAATCATACTGAGCAGAGGTGAGAAAGATTTTCTGATTTTAGACTGCAGCATCTCCTACACAGTGTATCTGAGAGCTAACACATTCTAATTCTGCTGGAAAACAAATTCTCAGTGAATCTTGAGTTAAAACCAAAGGAAGAAAAATCAATGTCAAAGTACTAACATTTAAAAATAAAATTCAAAGGATTGTTATATAAAAGGGTCATTGCTTTCATAACTCTACATAGTTTAGCTCTTTTAAAATATATACAATTGGATTGCAAAAGACAGTTTTAAAGCCTATCAATAAAGTCTCCCATATATGGTGAATTTTTCATGACATATTTCACTGAGGTATGGCATATGTGCATTCAGACAGTGGGCACATGTAGCGCAATGCCACTCTTTATTATTCCTATGTGGTATTATTGCTCCAACCACACATCTACCAGTTTTGTAGTTATTGAATAGGCTGCATTGAAAAATACTTCTGAGAACTAGTGTCTCATTGGCCTTGCTGCTGGCTGGAAGGGAACAGCACACCTGCTTCCCGACAGGTCAGGTATCCCTGTGCTCGGCTTGTCTACTGAAGTGAAAGAACCCCAGGGCCACTCGGAGTTCCCAGGCACAGGCCGGCTGAGTTCCACGTGTTACCTGCAGAAGGCCTCAGAAATCAGAGAGGAACATACTGGAGATGGTGACACATGTCTGAGCCAGAGGGAAAGTCTAGCTGCAGTGACACTGATTTTGAAAGTATGCTTCAAACACGGCGTTCTGTGTGGAACTGCCCTACTCATTAGCACCACACTTATTCAACATAAAGCAAAATGTAATGTGAGACTCTACTAGTAATTTTTTCTGTTTAAATCCTAAAAGTAGATTAGTGATGCCCTTAAAACATGCACTTTGCCCATGTCAGGCTCTCCTACTGCAAACCAAGGTCAAGAGTACATTTCCACTGTGCTGCTTATTGTAAGATACACATTCCTGGAAAGCTCTTGGGTCAAACGCGAGCATCCACATGCTAGTGTGAGCAACCTATATACATTTTCTTAAGGCCAGTATATTCATTTCTATAAAATAGGTTTAGAAAAGAGGCATTTTGGGGATACTAATAGAAAAGCAGAAAACAGAAGGAATTCATTATTCTTGGCATCTGACTTTTTTTTTTCTTTTATGAGATAATTTACTATGAGCCTCTCATTAAGTGGAGGAGACACTGTAATTGGACTGGTGGAGAGCTAGGCTTCTTTCACGTCTATCACAGGTTGAGCTGAAAGTGCCGGCGAGAAACAGTTCCAGAGAGGAGAGAGACGGCGGACACTGAGAAGAAACACGCAGCGGCCATGTGAGTTAGAAATGATGAGACAGGGGCGGGGCCAGGGCAGGAGGCCCAGAGAAGACCGTCAGCTGTACTGCGCCAGAAAAGGGGAGCAACAGTCAACAGCCGGTGCTCTGGGTTTCCAGCAGCTCCTCTTTCCGTGAAGCCACGTGAGTCCAATCCGCGCAGAAAATATATGGGAATATATTACAATCAAATTCCAAGCTGCTGACAAGATTTGGGGCGAATGCTTACTTAAGAAAACTTCAGATTACTTGAATGTCTTTTTTTTTTTTGAGTTGTTAGATTTCATGGCATCCTCAGAATAAAAGGACACTGCCCGGATTCACTTTTAGAATCTCTCTTGCTCCTCTCCTAAGACAGACGATAAACTAGAATATCAGAGAAATGGGTTTCACGAAGGGTTAAGTGTGGTTATGTGAGGAATGTCAAGACTGACCTTCTTCGGTAGTACGGACTGTTTTAGGTTCACTATCCATTCCTTGGAACTCATTGAAATAAGGCCGGACTTTAATTTCGTAAGTCACTCCCTTTTTCAGATTGACCAGGACGGCGTTCCGCTCGTTTGGGACTTTGGCGTCGAGGCTCTGCCACGTCGAGGGAGCCTGCAGGCCCGAGGTCTGCCGGTACATCACCCGGTAGCCTTGGATAAACTGGGGCTGGCGGTCCACCTGAAACAGACAAAATGCTTTTAAACCCAAGGGAAGCATTTCGGACATCACAGTGGATCCGTCCTGGTTCCTCGCCCCTGTCTCGGGCCTCATCAACGGCCGTCGGGGACGCCAGGGCCGATCCTGACCCCGGCTTCTCGGGTCCTCTCCAGCCGAGCCCCTTGCTCCCAGTTACCATTTCCCACCGAGGCGGCGTGTCCAAGGTACCTGCCCAATTCGAGCTCTTTGGATCAGCACAAAGGCCTGTCAAGACCTAGACCTGCCAATTTTTCCATCTTCGTTTCTTATCAGTTTGTCCTACATTCAACACTTTCCATCTCGGTGCTCGTCCATGTCATGTGCTATCTGCCGGGGATTCATTCCCACCCCGTGTCCTTCCGCTAACACCTGCCTTCACGCAAAGCGGTGTTTGAGTTCTTACTACTAAGCACTAGGAATTCTGCCGAAATCTGGCGATAAAAAGGAGAAGGAAAGGAGTCAGGCCCCGTGCTCATGGTGCCTGGAGCCCACGTGGAAGAGGCACTGTCTAATGGCCACACAAACAGCGTTCAAGTCGCGGTCATGACAACTAGACACAAAGCACGATCACAGGACTGTGCTGTCAAGGAGCGAAGGAAGCCTGGCGGGGGGAGGCGGCTGAACGCCGAAGGGAGGGCAGTTTCCCTACCAGGGCCGTGGGGTCTCCACGGCGGGGGCCTCGCGTGTGCACTGCCTGTTGGTGGAGGAAGCGCTGAGAATATCACGATGCAGAGCCAGAGCATCTGTTTTAAACGCATAAAAAAGCTTATACCCCTCGACAAATATTAAAGACTTTTATTAAGTCACCTACAGTCCCACTACTGGCACAATTTGACAACTTTTATTCACTTAGAGGTACAGCTGCTTTTAAACGAAAATCTGAGATTTTGAATCTGAAACTCATATCAAATAGAAATTTGTAAAAGTCTTTTGTTCACTCATAATAATTACATAAAACTGAATACATAAATATGTAAGCTAAAAGTGAAGCATGTTCTCTTTATATATTTATAAAACAATCTTTACTGGCGGGTTACCATCTTTTCATCTTCAGGGAGAAAAGGGCTTTCAGCTTGTAAAATGTCTTGCCATGTTTCTAGAAGTGCTTGACAAACATAGCCGCCCCACCACCTTCTCCGTTAATATTCTCTCTACTATAGTCTGCTAGTCATATTCTAAAAGGGCTTTAACTTGACATGTTTCAGTCAAATGAAATTAAAATTTAATGGAGAAGAGGAGGAAGAACTTCATCTTAGGAAGTCTGAGAAGCAAGGAAATAGAATAGGTAATGATAAAAATGGTTATTTCAAGCTTGTTAGAAATGTCTTTATTCAATTGTTAACACATAATAAACAAATATTATTCTTTCATGTATTACATTCTAGAGTTGCAGCAGTTACACAATTTTTACAGGATCTCAGTCAAAATACTGTGGCCCACTGGAACATTTTTCTGTGTTCAGAATGTCCACGTTAGGAAAAACCATGAAGTTGGTGAGCATAAGCATGCGTGTCTCTATGCACAGCTAGTTACAGTTTCTCGGATGAGTCTCAGTGAGTAGAATTCCTTCACCCGTCAGCTTTCTAACCCTCACAGAGTTCCTGGATTAGGGCCCCTCTTCCATGGGGTATGTCATGAAAAGAAGCCCGTCTCCTCTGCCAAAGCTCACGATCTCTGAGTGCTCATTCATGCCACAAGTTTGTATTTGTACCAGTGGACATATTTTTTGAAAATCAGAAGTTGTTCTGACATTATGAAACTAGTCAACTAAAAAGCCAAAAGTTAAATTTATGAAAGCCAAAGAGAGATACTCTTCATCAGAACTGTCAGTGTTCAAAAAGTCACTGCAGCGTATGTTAAAACAACATTAAGCTTGCATTTTATAAACTTCTCTGCATTTGCTTTAAGTGAATTTATATACTGAAAGAAAGACATAACTCACAATAATAGCTTGTTAATACTGAAAGAAGCAAGCTGTGTTTTTAAGAAGAACATTAAGCAGCTGTTTCCAGATGAAGGGAGTCTGTAAATCAGGATAAATTGGTTTTATCCATGTTTGGTTTTCATTAATTAAGTGTTTTAAGGACTTTATGAAGCTAATGTTTACTATACAACATTGCCTTCCCCACTTCGGTGTACACGGCCTCCAATCAGTATTTTCTAATGACCTACCTAATAACTAAATAGTTTAACCCGATTTTGTGCAGTTGCAGTACATTCTTTTCGGAACAAAATTTGTTGTTACAGGTGGAAGCGAAAATGAAAATGCTGAACACCACCTTTGAAAAAATAGGTGGGATTTTTATTGGATCTGCATTCTACACCATTGACTTCTGAGGCACATTTTGACAGGTAGTCATTTTCAAGTTAAAACATATGCTTGTTACTAGTTTTATTGCCATTTTGATTATGAGTCTGGACACAATTCCATGGGTTTATAGAATTTTAAAAATTGGTATTTTTTCTGAAACATGAGTAAAAAAATGAGTTGTCTTAAGTAAAAAAATGAAATGATGAAGGGAGGCTCAGTCTCAACTGAGTTCCAGCTTAGCCTCTTAACTTTCTGAGTCTCGGGTTACTTAATTTGCTCAAATAACACCCGTGCTGCAAGGGCACAGACACAATGAAAGGACTACTACAAGTTCAAGCACTTTGCACGTTTCAGAGATGCACAATGATAAAGCATCATGGTTGAGTGAAAAAGATTTACCAAAAAAAGGCAGTCCACGTGTGACCCTCAAATCATCACTTCATTAAAATGTTTAAGATGTTAATGTCTATCTTTTTAATTTAAAAAAATCCACCTATATGGAAAATTCAAAACAAACTTTCTTAGGTGGGCTTGGTCGGCTGAATGCTCGATCTGGGTGCAGCTCAGGTCTCGTAGCCTAGTTCACCGGAGCACTCGCTCTGCTCCACGAGCTGTGATATTTAAGGGACAAAGAGTCTGGGGTTCTTTCCGTCCTTGAACCATAACAACACACACACACACACACACACACACACGTGCGCGCGTGCGCGCACCAGAATAAATATTTTTAAATATAATATTCACTGTTATTTTCTTTGTGAAAAGCCTTTTCCCTATCATTATGTCTGCCCTCATTATAAAATCAGTCACTTATAGGCTGCAGCATTTGCTAACCATAGTTCCATCAAGATTAGCCTGTGGGGCTGGTGAATGGTTTATTTAGTACAAACGTCATGTATGTTTGGTAAATGAATCCTGCCAACCATTGGTATACCACCTCACTTGGCCCCAAATCTGAACACATGGACTGGGGAATATATTTCTCCCCTCAAACCCAACACAACGAATCAAACAATATAATGATTTACGAGACATGCCCATTTAGGAGGTTGAACATATGACTTCAGAATGAAACAGTTGGCCATAATGTGTTTGATGACCAACCTCACCCTCAGTCTGGCTCTATCCCACTACACTTAACTCTCAGCTACAAGCATGTTTCATGGGGAACAATACTGGTGAAATACTTGAACACTTTCTTTTTTAAAATAAAAAATGACTGAAAAAAATGTATTGGTCACTCAGCAGTTATTGAAAGAGTATTTCATAAATGATGCATTATTCCAAAAAACAAAAACAAAAAAAAACCCCAGAAATTTAAAATAGAGATTCCAGACTCTCAGAAGTCAAGCTCATGAAGGAGAGCGATATGAAGACTAGAAATGACAAGATTTGGGGGTGTAAGATAAATGTGACAGGGTCCCTCTCCTGAAGGAACTGCCAGACTTCTGACCTGCAATTTTGATCTAATTTGATGTATTCTTTTTAGCTAAATGACTTTTAAAGTGATTAACTTCATGAACATAATAACTTTGATTCTTATCCAAATAATTCCCACATTTAGAAGCAGCTTTTAAAAGGCACTTCAAAAGAGAGCAGAGAAGACTTTTTCGATTGAGAATGAGGAAAAAGATGCTATTAAAAACACAACTGTTTCCTTGGCCTTGTTAGTTTTGTATCTAGTCAAAGCTACAGAAAAATGGAGTGGCGGACAATGCCCCCACTGTACTGCTGAAAATCTGATGAGGTCATTATGTTCCCTTCATGGGAACAGAAAAATAGAAACCATTATATGCAGAAAATAAAACATGTCTATGTTAAATTGTATAAAAATGGAATTAAAACAATGTAATTCTAATCATAGTTACTCTTAAAATATTATAAACTTAGTTTTATTTTTGTTAAAGTATTGCTTAATTTTATACTCAGGGGCCAAAAAGTGTGACTGATCAGATGCCAGGTGGTTTGGTGTAAGAAGTAACGAAACGCCCCATCCAGGATCATATGTTGAAATTCCACCGTTAAACGGTCTTCTGTTCGACTATACATTCGTCTACATTTTATCTTTACAGTGGAAACACTACAAGTATATTTGAAGTAAGGAAATTCTAATGCTACCGTTACCTATAAATACACATGGGATATTAGGAACATTATTCAACCTGTCTGTATTGGTTTCCTTTTATAAAATTATAAAATTAGATTAAACAGCCTTAATGTCACTAAGGTTCTCCTGTTCTAATAAATAATGTCTCCATCTTTCCTCATAGAGAAAGAGATGAGAGGTAACACCTTTTCTGACGTTTGAGGATAATCAGTCACTTCCTCTTTGATTGAAACCTCTGTGGACAGGGTGCATATATGCTTATTATGGTATGTAGCCCTGTGGACCATCGTTAAGAATTTGCATGATTCTCTCAAGCAGATCTCTCTCTTTATACAGCACCTCCCACACACACCTCGTACAATGCTGGTTCTCAAAATAGGCTATTGAACTGGATTTGTTGAATGGGCTTATTCTAGAGAGGATATGGGAATAATTCTATTCATTGTGTTCTATATTTCAAACATAATTAAGAACTGATGAAAACAACCAGTTTTTTCCCCTCAACTTTCTTTGTTGACGAGTGAATGGGAATGGATGCGATAGTAATTTCCCTAAAGAAACTTGGAGGAAAGGTAATCCGTTTCTGTTTTGTTTTGTGTATAGTCATTCTTCTACAACAAAAATAACAACAATAATAGAGACATAATTATAAATGTATGCCAATGAAGATTACATTTAAAGTGAAAAATTTTCTAGGTATCCTTAACTAAAGTGTCCATTACTTGTACAACATACACAGTCTGTCACATGCACAGAAGGCTTAAAGAATACGTGCTCTTCTGTCATCTTGATATATTTCTTTATGGATTCTTAGAAACTATAACAGAAAGGTCTTGGGCACAAAGGAGAAGTCGGCACTGACTGCATCAGGCTCAGGGAAGAGGATCTCGCTCCCCTCGGAACAGACGCTCAAGCACACGCACATTGTCCATATTGTCTAATATGACTAATATGGCTCTTTTCATGCTCTTTGTTGGTTCCACTAAAGTGGCTACCATGTGGTCAAAACATTTTGTATCTAAAAGAACAGTGGTCAGGTTGACATTTATTAATGCATGCAGTTGAACACTTTAGCATATATTAAAATATTTATTCATTTCTTAAAACCCATTAATTTTTTTTACATGTCAAATTATTAAAATGATATATGTTTGGTTCTATTGGATGTAATTCAGCCAAAAAATAATAAAGATGTTTGGTTTAAATTTACAAGAAATCTTCATAAAAATTAAAATATTTTGTGCTTCAAATAACACCATTGAGAAAGTAAGAGACAAACCACAGGTTAGGAGAAAATATTTACAAATCATATATCTGATAAACAATTTGCATCCAATACATAAAGAATTCTTACAGGACTATAATATGAAGACAAAAAAAAAAAGCAATTTAAAAATGGGCAAATAATTTAAACAGACATTTTATATAACTGCTCAGTAAGCACATTTAAATATGCAAAATAACAGTAGTCATTAAAGCAATGCAAACGAAAACCACAATGATACACCACTCATCAGTCTCTAGAATGGCTATAATAAAAAACACAGAAGATAACAAGTATTGGTGAGAAATTGGCAAGAATGTGGGGAAAAAATGGAATCTTCAAATATTGCTGGTGGGAACATAAAATGGTATAACCACTTTGGAAAACATTTTGGCAGTTCATCTAATGTTCAACACAGCATCATTGTATTACTCAACAATTTCTGGGTAAATACCAAAAGAAACAAAAACATATGTTCATGACACCATCATTCATAATGGCCTACAACTCAAAGGTACATCTGCTGATGAACGGATAAACAGGTGTATGTGGTATACCTGTGCAATGGAATTTCATTCCTATGACAGAAATAGGAAAATCTAAAGAGACAGAGTAGACTTGTGGCTGCAAAAGGCTAAAGTAGAGGGAATGGAGGCTGACTGCTGTTGGACACAGGATTTCATTTTGGGATGATAAAATGTTCTAAAATCAGATTTTGGTGATGATTGTACAACTCTAAGTATACTAAAAATCATTGGGTTGTACATTTTAACACTGGTGTATGAATTATATCTCAATAAAGCTGTCAAAAAATTCAGAAGACAGAACATGTTGTGTTTATATTGCAATCCATCTGCTCTTCCTACATTTATTCTTTCATCTATCAAATACTTTCTTTCTGGCAGTTGATTACACCTTGATTTTAAATGGTAAGCGTTCTGATTACTATTTTGGGAGTTGTTGACTTGTTCTTTCTTCTTTGCTTTGTTTTCTTAAAGGAATACAAGAGACTACTATTATGAATATGGCCTTTGAAAGCTTACCATCCATGTGACTTGAACAGTTGTGGGAGTCAATACGACCGGAGTGTGAAGACGGACAATGACATCTCCTAGTTCCTTCTGTACTTGTCGGTGGTCCACTCCTTGTGCTGGTGGGCTGATATCTATAGAGAGATAACCATTCCCATGTTTTAAGACTTCATAGTAAAATTCCTACATTACATAAGCCTATATTATGCCAGGGGAAATATAAAAACCCTTTATGACAAAACATTAAAGAATATTTATATACGTACCACCATGCTAGAACATAATTTGAAAGATTATATTTATCTTCAATAAAATTATATTAATAAAAGAGTATATGCAATCCCCTCACCCTATTCAAATACATCGTTTTCTTATTATTTTCTTATTAAAGAATAAAATATGTGCTGTAAGACTTCTCTGGAAACATCAGTTTTATACAGATGTTGAAAGACTTTCTTGAGTAGTTAATGGGGTAATATCTGAAGACTGCTGTTCAGGAATTTATTTAATACTTTGTCCCAATTAGTATATTGTGTGTTCTTACCTGGCCCATTTCCATCTAGATATGTAGAAGAAAAGTAATCAGAGGGACAGGAAAAGTGAATTATGTTACTAAAGGTAGACAAAGTGAGGAAAAAAAGGGAAAGAAACCCCCAAATTCACAAAAAGACTGCTGATAAAAGACTCAGAATACTGATAAAATGTTCTAAAGTAATAAAGTTTGAGCAGCACTCTGACACCCGACAGAGGCAATGCGGCCGCTTTTTAAAACTATTGCCGGGGGCAGGGCAGGGCTAGAAGGATGAAAAAAAAAAAAAGATTTGTGATGTTTAGAATAATATGCTCTCATGGCTTCTTGGCCTTTTAGCTAAGATCAAGTGTGGAATAATATACTCTCAGCCATACATTGTCTGGTCCCTTATTTACCATTCACTTACTCTTCTATTGTCCCATATAATGGTTTATATTCTGTCCATTAAAAAATATAAATTATAGACATCCAAGTCCATCGAATAGGTATCAAACACTGAATTTTACACATACTCAAATCAACTTCTTTAAATCGTGTACTGTGTTAAGTTGATTTTTTTTTTCTTCAGCTACCTTATTTATGGAAGGAAGTCCAATTTAAATTGATTTATTTTCTTAATCTTGTTCTATTTTATTTTCTCAGGCCACAATGCCACACTCTAGCAAAAATATTTTTAAGTGCATATCTCAGCTTTAACTTAAATTGGTTGCACTAACTTAAATTGGGACATAAATAATTGGAACTACACTTTGGTGATTTTTTTCCAGTTCCACTCTTTTCATCCTTAATATAAACAGCATTGCAAGTTTGACTTAAAACAAAAACAAATTAATATTAGGTGAATAATGTTAACCTCTTGTCTGCTGTGATGTTGATCATGCAAATATTTGCTGCCTTGCGAAAAAATTCCTCAATTCTTTGGTATTTAATATCTTTAAAAAGTAAGAGCTCGCACAGCAAGGTGGTCTTTGCAGAGAAGAGCTTTACAAATGGCGAAGCTGCTGGAAGTGTGGTGTCAAAATGATCCTGACATTCGGACACAAAACATGAATTTTCCTATTAAACATCTGTTAAGAGAACATAAGTCTTTTTTGCTCTATATAGTCTCTCAACTGGAACAAGTCAGATCACAAACAACTTTTCATTAATCTTTTTTGACCTTTTCACAGAGAAGTTATTTTATGAGTCAAGATTTAGTGACTGGCATAGTTGTTGAATGATCAAGGTCTGCGGATTTAATCACACAGAAGGTCCCGCGTTCTATCTTCCTACCTTGCATTGCGCTCCACACAAAACCGGACTATTTCTATCTACGCTAGTAAAAATGATCTAGGGCTATTATTTCATGACTTAAAACCATACACTGCTTCCTTTTCAAATTCAATAATTTAATTTAATTTACTCATTATATTCAGGCACACTAAAAGCAACGGAATACAGGCAAGGTAAAATTTAACCAGTTTCAAGTCTTCAAATTTCTTGTTGTACTTTTTCTTTCTCTCGAGACAGGTTCTTTACCTACAGGTCCTTTATCATTATGAAAAATTAATCACATTACTGCGTAGAGAACAATAGTAAAGTGGCATTCCCTCCTCCATGACTGTCATCATGTCAGCGGCGCTACAACATCACGTGGTGACTTTATTTCACTTGATTTCTTTCAGGCCCTTCTCTGTTATAATAGCATGCTAGTAACTACTGCGGAACTACGGTGTAATTATAATCATATTTTATGGCTGTGTGGTGCTTTTCATAGTATAAAAATGCTACGTTGAATTATATCGTGTTCAAAGCCTTTTACAAATAAGAAATAATTAACCCTTTCTCAAGAACACTGTGAATAGGTTGTAACAAATAATAAGGACACCATTTCTATTTTATTAATTCTCTTCCTCTACTAGTAAGAAGAGAAATTACAATGCCACATATTGTATTAAGTCCTAGACTCCAAAGACTTCTCATGCTGAAGAGACAGGCTACTAAAGATGAGATGAGAAATCTTCCATTATCATCTTATGTTATAATGTTCCGGATGTTTTCTTTTATTAGTCAAAAGAATTACATACCTCGGGAAGAAAACTTAATTTACTCCTTTCTGAAACAAATTGCTCCTTTAACCTCTAGTTTAATAAAATACACTGAAGTAATGCTTGTCAAACGTGTCAAAAACATCAGCATTTGCCGGGCACCTGAACACAGACTGCTGGGCCCCGCCCCAGGGTATCTGAGAGGTGGCCTGAGAACCTGCATTTCTAATACGGTCTCAGGTGATGACATGATGCCTCCATGGAAACCACTCCTTGAGACCCACGCACTATAGAAACCTAATCCCTGAACAATAGCAGTAATGATATCTTTATCTGGGTATCTTATCCATTACAGATCACTTTTTGATACTGTATAATTAATTTCAAAGAGGAATAAACATTTGTCTTCACTTTGAAATATAATAAAGGCCTAAATTAGTTGGCTCACTCTTCCTATGCAAACGTGCCCAGTTATTTGTGTACCTGGTACTAAACAGACCCTGACAACCCCAGGAAGAGGATGCACTCACCAAGGGGAACGGCCTTCTAACCTGGCTCAGGTCCAGTGAGTCATTCTCACGAGCAATGGAGACACACTGATCTTTCCTCCTGTAACCCTTTGTTTTTTTAAAGATCTGCTAATGGCTCCTTCTAGAGCCCACTCATGTTTACAGCTCCGGAGATTACCTTGTGTGCGTACAGGATCTGACATCGGGCTTGGGTCACTGAGACCTTGCGGGTTGATCGCTCTGACCATGAACAGGTAGATTGTATTGGGCCGCAGCCCTCTCACTGTGTAGAGGGTGGTCTTTACGTGGTTTGCCACAGTCTGCCAGCTGTTGCTCACTGATTGGCTGAAACATGAACAGAAATTTCATTTAAGGTACAGTCATAAAGGTAGTGGAAATGAAGTTGGGTATCAATGACAAAGGTTAATGGCTGAAGATTAAACACACACACGCACACAAAATGCTTGGAGTGTTCAGCCCAGTAAATGAAACATTTGGATGATTTCAGTTTATTCGACAACAAAGCCGAGCCCACCTAACGAAGTGCCATGCACAACAAAATTAAACTCAGCCCAGGAGATGTGACAGCGCTTTGCTAATGCACAGCAGCCCACTAAATGAATACCTGCAAAGGAACAGGGGCCAAGTCACAACATCAAGTCTACACAATAAATATGGTCCTCGTAAGTGTGTATATATACCTTGAAAAGAATAACCTGTAGAAAGAATAAATGGACTAAAGAGTAAATTATGCCAATACATTTTCCTGTTATTAGGTGTGTTTTCTTTTGATCATTTCCACATGCAATATTATAATAAAGCCTTCTAAAACTACATATCTGTAAAAGAAGAAAGGAAGCATGTAATGAATATTTTCCCTTGGTCACATTTTTAATAAAATTGTACATTATGCAGTATTGTGATTTCTCATCTTGGAATGGCAAAATATCCTGTATCCCTTACAACCAGCTACAGATGGCAGGCCCATTTAGAACACTTCATCTAAGATCAAATGCTCCCTTTGTCCAAAATGAAGAGAAAATGTAATTTTCAGGGCCTTCCAATTATTTTTCAGAAGTTCTTATGTATCAAATAAAGCATGGACATTAAAGAAAAATTGTATTTTGAAATAGGAAAACTATGTACCCATCATTACCTTAAACGGATTAGGAGAGTCAAAAATGAAAGCGGTTTTAAACACTTGCCTTAATGCTTGGAAAGGACATTGACCATCACTATCTTTATAACAGCAATTAGAATTGACACTGAATATGAAACTACATTTTCCTATTTGTATCAGTATTTTGTCAAATTCTTATAAAACAATTTTATAATGACATTTGCTAGCTTATAGTCTATATCCTTAAATTGATGACAATTATTTCAAGTAACAATTAGACATAACTTTTCTCTTCAGCAACCACAGGTGCATGAAACCAATTTTTTAATTGTAGTTTTAAATTTTCTCATAAGCATACTCAATAGATGTATTCGGATACTTAGCATAAAAACATTGAAATTGTTTTAAGTTCTGCTCTAATTATTAGGAAGCAAATTTCCTGGGTTCCATGTTGCATAACTTTAAAAGTTCCCGTGCCTAATTAAATTATTTTCTGCCTAGTTCTAATGCCGAAATTTTCATCTTAAATCCTTATAATGGTCAGAGTAAAGAAAGGGTCTAAGACAAAGTGATTGTCTCATCAATTAGGTCCCTATAAACTTAGGCAGTGATAATACATATTTAATCTTATAATTAAGTTATAAATTAAAAACAAAACAAAACACTTAAGTCTATTCCTAAATAAAGTCAGATTTAAAGGTAAATTCTTAAAATGTACTGATTGACTATGTCCTTAAATAAAGCAGCAGGGTAGCTCACATGAGATTCTAGGAAACGGAGCTGAAGCAGAACCCAGAGAGAGCAGGAACGTCCCATACCTGAAAGCTTCAATGACATATGAGCTTGCCGGGAGGGTCCCAGGGGCACCTGGTTGCCAGGACAAAGTGACACTGTTCTTAGTAACATCAGTGACCTGCGCTTTGGATGGTGGTCCTGGCAGATCACTTAAATCATAATTTTTACTGATTGTTGCTCCAGATTCTACAGAGAACAAACAGAAAAAGCTTCATTCCTGAATGCATATGCTGAAGATAGTGGTTAAAGGAAAAAAAAGTCTATTAAAGAAGTTGACCTAGACAGTAAGCAATTCATCTGCATGAATAAATGTATGTAAGTGAATATTTGGTTTTCCTATATGTTACTAAAAGTGTGCTTTCCCACATGATCACTAGAATTGCTTTTTCTTTAGATTGAGAAAATGAAATAAAATTGTCAAGGAAAAATGTATCAAACTGCAGTATATGCAATGCTATGTGCCAAATGGTGTAGGAATTAAAAGTGGTGTGACTTAATTTTTACATTTAACGCATTTAAAATATTGTTCTCTTCTTAACTCGGTATTTGATAATAAGATAATCACCGCAATGGACTCAAGATTTCTTCTGTTGAGAGACTTCCCAGAACCCACCTGCCACGTCCAGAACGGCACTCCAGGAAGTCTCCCCACTTGAACTTGTAGCCACACAAGTGTAGGTGCCAGTATCAGAAATCTAGTGTGCAAGGAAGAAAGAGAATTAAAGTGTTTAAAATAATTTGTGGAAAATATTACAAAAATAAAAAATACTAAACCTTTCTCTTTGAAGAGATCAGTACTCAGCTATATTTAAATTATAGCAACGTAATAGTGAACAGAATAAAGTTATATCATTAAACAACAAACAAATCATGCCTATGTAATAACTGCAATTTAGAGCTGAAGGAGACCACAGAGATAATCTGACCCACGACTCTTTTTATAAGTTTGTATAACAGTTGCCATTTTAGTGATCACTTAAAATGTTTTTGTTATTCACTGAAGAATGACAAGACTTTTAGGAATAATTGATAATATAATCAAAAGTTCTATTTTACAGATGTAAAAGGCAGACTGCTCTGTGATCATGGATGGACAAAAGCCCAAGATCAAGAGAAGATGTAGCTCAGAGAGCCTTCCTGTGGCTGAGCCCTGTGGGCTCACACTGCAAACACCCACTGGCATCAGTTCAGGGCTGAAGGAAGAGACCGGGAAGCAAAACTGATGACCACGCGGAATAGAGCAGGTCAGAAGTTGTAGAATTAAAATTCTGTGATGAACATGAGTCTAATTGTTGATGAAATATGGGAGTTCACAGAATTTAATACCTGCTGGGTTCAAAATGTAAGTGTATCGATGACTGAACCTTCCGCAATTGATTTTCAAGTAAATCTTGAGTGCATGGATGTTCCTGCCGTTCCACCATTTTAATTGATTTTAAATGTCATTATGTATTTTAACCTAAGTTTCAAATTGCTCTGGAATGTCATTCTTTGCCATATTATCTCCCTACAATTGTCTTCCATTATGAGCAGTGATGATGGGGGAATCGCCTTTGTAGAAAAAGCCATTTTTTCAAACGTGGCTGTGCACGCACTGCAGTCATTAGACATCTTTTCATTTAAGAAGCATCACTCACAAACTAAATATAATGAGCCAAGGTTGGATTTTAATGGGATGTTCATTTGAATATGGTCTCTGAAAGAGGAAAGAATTTGCATTTTATTATAGCTGTTGAACTAAAATGTAGCACTTGTTATTATGTGCAAACGTAAAAGAAGGGTATGTAGGTAATGCTTCTTCACGGATCTCCTTGTCATTGTGTGGAGATACAAGGCTGACATTAGCTGTGGTAGGTATGTTTTAATGAGCATTAGAATATTCTACTTCTCAAAAGACACATATTCAGCTACCAATTAGCTGAACTATAAGAACACAATGTTCATCATGCTATTCCCCGCCCCCACCCCTTGCATTAGTACTGAAAAAACAATAGTGAGACACAAAGGAATATAACCTACAGAAAGTCCTTTGATATGGTGAAGTACTATAAAACACATTTTTGTCTTCCTTTAAAGACAGTCACATTACAGAAAGAGGATACTTTTTTGAGTTCAGCAGAAGTGCTTTCAAAAGCCTAAATATCATTACTAAAAGTCATTCCTGTGTCGTCATCATCACCACATTCATTTTTATTCCTTCAACTTTAAATAATGTCTTTTCTGATCACAAGTGCATCGGGTTTTTCCATCCTTCTCCTTTTATCCTAAAGCAAATGCTTTAGAACGAGATTCATGTGCTGTCAGCCGTCACCTGCTGTTCTCCTTGTGTAGTTGGCTGCGGACGAGCCCCCGGGAGCCTGCATCCCAGACAGACTACTCAGAAGCCTGTCACAGGGATCAAAGTTTGTTTGACACCATCAAGCACCCACCTTTAATTGCTTCTTTCAAACATTACTTGAGATCCTGACTATTCAAGCGCAGCCTCTAATTCAACAGTACAGTGAAACTGCATTAACCTTCATGGCCCAAGTCTGCCTTCAGCCCAGAGAGAGGTTAACATGTTTACTCAAGGAGAGTTGGCATTAATTTTTTAATAACTCCCATTTTGTTCATAAAAGGTTAACAATTAATTTACAATCAATAAACAGGTACGCTAAAATCTATATTAATTTATTTTCCTTTTAACTGAATTCAAAAGCATTTTTCCTACTTAGAGCAATAATTAATGCCTGTGTCTCAAAAATAAAAAAGTTATATATATATTAATTATGTTAACATAGTAAAGATTTGTGTTTCGTGTGTATGCATACACAATGTAAAAACAGAATACTTCTTTCTTTTTGTCTATGTATCTGTATGATACACTGATAAACACAAACTAAGTGTGTGATTACAAATATATTTGCATTGTAAGAGACTATTGTGATCATTTTAAAAGGGAAAAGTCAACATTGTTTTTCGAGTTTTTTTGTTTTGTTTTTTTCTTCGTCTTGGTCCCCAATTTCTCCCCAGAGTCCAGATTCTACTAACTGTTCTTCCACTGAATTATTTTGAGTCTTTTTTTCTTTGTGCACTATTACATCTACCATCTGAGTTCAGCTCTCATTCCCAATCTTTTGCTATGCGCTCATGTGTTGGCATTGCGTTTGCTGCAGGGAGGAAGGCTCCATATTTGGCTGAATGAACAGAATATACTTTTGAAGTCAGGTTGCCCCGTAATACATCTTCTTGGTATATCCCCGTTCACATCTTGTATAATCCCTCACTTTGAGTGTTGGGGGCCTGTTGACATTTCCCTGGCCAATAGAATGGAGCAAAGATGACAGGATGTCATATTTGTAACTATGTTGCATAGAACTGCAATGCCTCTCTTGCTAGGAGACGCTCTTGCTGACTTTGAGGAAGCAAGCAGTCATACTGGGACTATCCATATGGCAAGGAACTAAAGACAGCCTTCAGTCAATAGTAAGCAAGAAGCTGAGGTCATCAGTCACGAGGAACTGAGTGCTGCTACAAACATGATGCTTGAAATCAAAACTATCCCCAGTCAGTCTTCAGATGAAACCATCGCCCTGACATCGTATTGTAGACTTGTGGGTCCTGAAGCAGAAAACCCAGCCAGGTCATGCCCAGGTTTCTAACCCACAGACATTGTGAGATAGTAAACGTGTGTTGCTGTAAGCCTCTATGTTTTTGCTGATTCATTACACAGTAGTAATAGCTAATATGTTATTCAGAAGTACACACTTATTTTGGTTGAGTTGATCCTAAAGCAAGTCTAACTTATTTAAGTCGACAGGAATGTTCATCCTTTGTTAAAAGACCAGCAAATCTTGTTTTTGTCCACAGGTTTACACTTAAATTCCACAGCAACTTCACCTAAAATGTAAGATTTTCTATCAATCAGCTAAACCTGCCTCTTGTGTATTCAGCTTCATCTCTTTATTTTTTCCACACAACTGTTTGGTCAAGCCAATTTTTCCTTTGTTCATGAGAGTAAATCAGAAGGATTTGTCACTTTAAAATTAGTTTAATATTCTGTTACTATCGTCATATGGGTTGGGATGAAGGAGTAAAAAATTTCTAAATCTGTTAAACAATTATGAGTAACATAAGATCAATGATATTCCCTCTAATTTGAATTTGTCATTTGTACAATAAGAACTAACATGGCCCATGATGAAACATGGAGTGATGTGCTGGGTATAAGATTCTAATCTTATAACACAGTTTTCTCTAGGTTGGTACTTAAATTCAGATGAAGATACAAATACAAGCTGAACATTACTTACCCGTAAGTTTTTAATCTGCAACGTTCCTTGATCTTGTATAGTTGCTCTTGGGTCTCTACCCAGAAAAGTGAATCCCTCCTTTAACCAGCTAATCACAGGAGGAGGATCACCAGTAGCTTTACATTTCAGCAACGCTGTGCCGTCTACTGCTAGTGTCTGATTGGCTGGGCCTTGCAGAATTATGGGTGGAGGTCTATCTGTCAAAACTAAAGGATAAAGATATTTTCAGAATATTTTAACTTCCATAAAATTCAGTAGTCTTGATATAGAAAGTAAGGTGCAAGCCCCCAAGTCATATATATTACTTATAACTTATTCTGCATGTTTTATATCCATCAAATATTTATCATCTATATAAACCATACTGAGACCATATTATTATTTATAGGTTAGTTTGAATTACTTATAATTAAGATGATGATGGCATAAAATTCTAACATTTTAGAAAGGCTTAATGTTATTAAAAGGCTTAATCATATTAAAATGAAAATATAGAAACTTATTATAATCATTCATAAAATGTCTATTTTATGTCTCATACCCAAATTTAGGAAAGCCAGTGGAGGATACATGAGTTTAATCAAGTTTCACTTTTATTTTATTATAAATATATGTATAACACATGATTTCACCTTTCCTATCAGCAGTGCATGCTGTACATATATAGGCTACAATAAGTCTGTTGATGTTAAAAATATTTGATTATAAATAATTTATATCCATAATTATGACACTGAGTCTTTAAATTATAGTAATGTAATTTGAATGATATAATTTAATTAGCCCCTACAATTAAACAAAGATAAGCAATCTAATTAGACTTTATTTATAGTGTGACACACATTAGGTTTTCAACAGTGTTTACATATATATCGATTCCTATGTTTGCTAGGAAAATTTTCTATAATTCCATAAGCTTTTCTTTCAGTGTGTTTTTATTGAATTGCATCTTCAGTGCCTTTCGAAGCATTTCATAATGATCTAGAAAGTATATCAGAATGTACAGTGTTATTTAAATGGCAGCAGACATATGGAGTGAAATGCAGGCAAGCTTTCCTGGAAACTGACCAGACGGCCACCTCATGGTACCACTGCATGTCCAGGTTCAAGGGAACTCTCTTAAAATTAAGAAAAATATAAACTTCAGCATGGATTTTGGTAAATTATCTCAAATATGCTTTTTATTTTATGCATATATATAATTTTCTTAATAGTATTTTATTTTCCCTAGATTACTTAATTGTAAGGATACAATATATAATACATAGGACACGAAATATATGCTGATTAACTGTCTATTTTACTGGTAAGACTTCCAGTCAATAGTAGGTTATTAGTTAGGATTTTGGGGAGTCAGAAGTCAAGTGTGGATTTTCAACTGTGAAGGAATCAGTGTTTCTAACATCTACCTCCACACTGTTCAAAGGTCAACTGTATGTGCATGTGTATATATACTTTTTTAAATTAAAAAATATCTAAATATATTTTTTTAAAATTGTATCTGATTGAAAACCAACCAAATAAGCAAGCAAACAAACAAAAAAAGGTCATAAATACAGAAAATAGATTGGTAGTTGCCAGAGGTAGGGAGGGGGTGGGGTGGGGAGAGATGAGTGAAGGGGAAAGATTTTTTAAATTTTATAAAAAAAGACTTATCACTGTTGATGTTCACTGTGATCACCTGTCTGATGTGTGTTTGTCAAGTTTCTCCACCACAAAGTTAACCCTCTTTCCTAACTGTACCCTCAGGGAGGAACGTCTCTTGTTGTGCTCTATTTCCTGGAGGGAAGAGCATTTACAAAGATATTTGAAATCTTGTGCATAGATTCGTGTCTTCTTCATTTATTATTCAATCACGCTTTCTGTCAATACGGACTCTCGCATATCTATTTTGTATTTTGAATTATAGTCCAGTGCTACTTTATTTGTTCTGCTGTTTAATTTTTACATTGGCCACTGGGTGCTGGTTCGTTTGGCTCCTGAGCTCCTCTGACATCCACCCCAACCCCCAACAATGTGTGTGTGGGCTTTTGTTTTGTTTTATGTTTTTGGAGTACTTCCTTACTTTCTGATACAAGATGCTCCAGGCTTGTCTTATATAATTCCTGACCCAATCCTAAACTCAGCCATTTCTTCAAAATACACACACACACACACACACACACATACACACACACACAGTTGGCCCTTGAACAATGTAAACTATTGGTTTTATATAAAAAAAATTATAGTGGATTCTATTTTTTGTTAAGCAACTGTGAAGAGAAATACTTTTTTCAAAATCATGTTATATTACAATGTTCATAATAAAACAGTTATATTGCTTATCAACGTTCTAATATTTTTTTGTTTCTATAAATGACAGTATATAATTATTTCTCAACCTATATGCATTATCTTTATTACTATGGTTTACAGTTTTGAGAAAAAAAGCAATAAATTAAGCAGCCTTTTTAGAGCCTACTATGAGAAGGCCAACCAATTTTAATTTATGATAGAAGTTATTATATAGGTCTGTTGCCTGGAAAGATGTAGTAGACTTCCAATCAATCTAAACCTACCACATCAAAATCTGCATTAAAATGTTTGTCTATCTATCTATCTATCTATCTATCCTGAAAACCTTATAGAAACCTAAGAAAAACAATGAAATATTGTTCATGTATTTTTTATAAAAAATGCACCTATTACTTTACTGATTTCTTTGTTCAAATAATTTATTTTAGAAGTAAATAAAGTAATTATCAGAGAATGTGAAATTACAATATTATACCAATTATGACACATCTGGCAATAATTGTGCAAAAAGATATTCAAATAGAAAGTTTCATAGAATTTATTTACTTCATCAGCCAAAACAGGAAGGGTGATTCACAAAACATTATAATTTTAAAATTCAATGAGAAAAATGAGTCTGCAAGTAGCAGAGTAGAAACTATTTAGTAAATTTTTAATAACTGTTTCAAATTAAATATCTATAAAGAATTCAGGTAATTTCTTAAAATCAGCTTTTATCTTCATGTTCTTAAAATCATTAGATATAGCCAAAAGATATCTAATTAGTTTCTCTTTTGCTTCCCAAATGTATAACTCATCCTATTTTAAATGAATTTGATCAATAAAGTAATTAAAAATCTCCTGGCCAGAAGGAATTTTCAGTTTAATCATGTTATGGGTGAAAGATGACCACAAGTTTCCATGACATTAAGGTCAATGGTTAAATGAACATTTAGGGTTTGCAGTGATCTGTGAACAACTCTATGGCTTTCTCTAACTATGTATTATAAATCTCCAATAAACCATTCATATAAGACATTTCTTGTTGATATAAGATATAAGTACATGTCTTCTATTCAGTCCTTTCCGACTCTACTGGCTCTACTCATAGAATTCTCATTAAAATATTTTAATTTTCTTAAAGAGTAGAAGAAAAGAAATGAAGAACAGTACCAGTGAATAAATGAGGTCTTTTAATGGGATATTTTGAAACTCAAGTATATTGAAGCATCTTAGCTCAATCTATAATCAGTAAAATTATCACTCAACAGCACCTTTCATCACCATTAGCAAGCTCATCTTATATGAACACTTGAGCTAAAAATATTTCTGAGAAAGGAGTCTAAATGTAAAAATGTAACAACAGAAACATTGCTATAGATGTTTTGCTTGTTTCTCAGAACATGGCATATGTTTTCATTCTGCATTAGAATTTCAGTTGGCTCTAAATTGCCCTGGTACATACACAAAAAAATGTTGAAAATAAAAATGATGGCTTACATATTTTTAGATTGTTAACCAATCTAAAAAATAAAAAATAAAACACTAAAGAGAAGCTAAAGTCATCAGCCATTGTGGCAAGTTAAAATTTGGAGACAGTTATTTACAATAATAATATGTGTATATGCCTTGGAGTTAGATTTAGTTACTCTAAAAATCAATAACTCTATAACCTTCATTCAATGCTTTTGCAAAAGAATCTTGATTTTGTGATTGCTTACTTAAGGAAAAATCAATGTAGTAATTAATGTTCAAGCCAGTTGTAGTAAAATGTCCAAAGTTATCTTAGTCATCAGATTTAAAACTATTTATCACTGTATTAATTTTGACCTCAGAAATGCAGCTAGAATAACTATAGTTTTGTATGACCATGTCTTCAACTAACATAAATTCTCAAAACAAAAGTCTTTTGTTCCATTATGTTAGACATAATTCTGAATATCCACCTGTTTTATGAACCACTTCAGTCATAAAAAAATCAACCCTTCTAATTCATCAATTTTGTTTTCTACAAACATATTTTGCTTTTTCTATAAAAACTTCATTTAGAAATATTTTAAGGTCTATCTTTTGTAAAATGCGATAACTTAAGCTCTTCCCGGGATTACAGACGAGAGCTTAAGTGTCGTTTGGAATGTTCTAGAATAGTGGAGACGAAAATTTGGGCTTTGGCCCAAATATCTGATTTTCCAAGGACATGTACCTGGGCATTTTTGTTGCTAGTCGAAAACTTAAAATCTTAACAAAGATTGCTAATTCTATTGCATTTATTTTAAAGAAATGCGGAGGATCGAAAGGTCAAAGATCTCGCCCATCTAAAGGAAGAACTCAGCACCCGCACCCTCTTGAACTTGACTCCTTTCCCTTCCACGGCAGCGAATCTCTGCAGCAGCAGCAGGCTGTGGCCATTGACAACCCAGGGTCCCCACCGCCAATGTTTGTCTGTCCTATTTATTTCCATTCCTGCCATGATGCTGCATCAGGCAATACCACAAACATTAAAATATATTGCCTTTCTATTAATTTTAAATGACCTTTTAATCTACATGGAAATGTAGATGGTATGAAAGTACATCACATTTCACCAGGAGAGAAAGGGGAGCATCAGAGAGGCTGCAGACAAAAGCTCTTGTATCTTAGAATCGCAGCGTCAAGAAAAAACAACAACCCAGCAACCTCACAAATACAGGAGAGCAGGAAAAAAAAAATTAATTTAAGACACTAAACAATAAAGCTTATATTCATGCTCAGAGGTCACAAAAATACCTAAAACTCCCTACCTGTAATTTGTGATAAGCTCTTGGGGAAAAAAATCAGACTATGAAAAGTCTTAAATCTTCTCCAACTTTTGCTATGAACGTAGGTGTTTTAGTAAAGATTTGTAGTACATGTGTGCAAATAAAAAATAATAATTTTAGCATTCATCAGTAGTTTGAGGTGTTTAACTGACTTAACGTCGTGACTGTATAATTAAAAAGTCAGTGGATGCCATATGTGACTAGCTAATTAAAACTCCTCTCCAGTTCTTCTGATAATATCAAAGATGCTATCTTTCTCTTCTAGTAAAACAAAATTATTAACTTCTACTAGAAGGCCCTGGAAAGTTTGGCTCTGCAGTTAGAGAATCGGCCCAGAACTAAATGGTCTTGGGTTCAATTCCTGGTCAAGGACACGTACCAGGATTGTGGGTTTGATACCCAGCTCTAGTCAGGGTCATGCAGGAGACAACCAATCAATGTGTCTCTCTCACATTGATGTTTCTCTCTCTCTCCCTCTTTCCCTCCCTTCCTTCCACTCTATCTAAAAATCAATGGAAAATATCCTTGGGTGAGGATTAACCAAGTAAATAAATAAATAAATAAATAAATAAATAAATAAACAAATAAATATATATTAGAAGCAATCATGTCTTCATAAAACTAAATATACAGATAACATGTCTATACAATGTGAGTATAATGTCATTTCTTTAACATAATACATCACTATGTTTTTAACAATAAATAGATTGTCTTGAATGTTCTTTGGGAAAATAAGTGGTATTAGATCAAGGAGAATTAGAAACTATTAAAATGTTATTTTATGTAGATCTAAACTAAGAAGATAAGAATTAATTAAAACAATAAAATGAGAAACAAAAACACATTATTTCCATAAGACAAATCTAATAATACCGCACCATCAGTAACTTCCAGTTGAGCTTTTGCTAAAATGCTTCCCGCCACCGTCAGGGCCTGGCAGATGTAGTAGCCCGCATCCGAACGCTGAATGTTGGTGATCCTGAGGTCTCCGGTGGGGGACACAGAACATCTACTGTTGGGCTGCTGGGGTTGGTTTGGGAAAAGTAGGTTCTGTGGAAGCAAACACAATCTCATCAATATTCCTTTCCCACTTGGAAGGAAAATGACATTAGCAATAGCTATTGCAATTATGGGAATATGGCTGGAAAAGAAAATACATAGATTTAAAGAAAACAGTGTTAAAATAATTTAATAATGAGTTTCACTGAGAAATGTTCCAAATGATAGAAAAATAATATGCTCTAAGAAGTCAGTATGCTCTAGTTGAAGAAACAATCATCTAAAAAGTATCTTCACATGTCACCTTTTCCCCGACTTTCTGCTAATTACTTTATATCTTTGAAACATGATTTGCTCATCTGTAAAATGGGAATAATAATGCTTATCTGACTCAACTCAGAAGACAGTGTGAGAATTGAGAATGTAACATTAACTATGCATATATTTTATAGACTGTGCATTACTAAAGGATGCAAAATATACTTTCTGCTGATCATTTTTAATACTTAATATAATTAACAATTCTTTCCTGAAAGGTATTCAAAAAAGTATGTGACTGAGACTGACACAGAGCCCAATTCACTTGTGCTGTGAGGTTTCTACAGGTCATAACAGCCTCTAAACAAACCGTGGACAAAGCCGCATTCTAAGCAAGATGAAGCAAATCAAAGAAAATAAACAGATAAAGATTGTTACCAAAGTATGTGTGAAATCGTAAAGAACTTCATAATAAGATCTTCTTTTAAAAAGTTAGTTTACTGTATATCTCATGTTACGTAAAAGTAGCCTAACCACAATTTTAAAAAAGCTTTGATAATGAGAGCAATAATATTAACTCCCATGACCTATGTTGCTTTACTGCTATTCAATTAAGAAAAATATGTGGGTATAATAAATTATATTGAGATATACTTCCAAGATGGATTATAAATAAGGACATATCTATTTTTATGTTATATTTATTTACAAAACAGAACATTATAAACCTCTTTGATTTGTTTCTCAATATAGTAATTAATTTTCCAGGTTTTTAGTTAAACAGTTTCAATACGTTACAATCAGGAGGTAATAACATTCAGTTAAAGGCATAAGACACATTTTCACCTTAAAATGTTTTTTACCCTTGAAGTAATACCAATGGAAGAGGATAAAATAGGGTATTAACACTTTTCAATTACGCTAAATGACTTTAATTCTGAGAATGATGTCCTACTTTAATTAGAAGCTCTTCTCTTTATTGCAACATGATGGATGTCCACTTTATTAGATTCGAGTGTGACACTATAAGCCCACTTTACATAAACATTACCATGTTGTTAAACCCTTTCTAAAAGAAGTGATGTTTGCTAGCATGTCAGGAGTATAATTTCAAAATGCTATTGCCTTGTTATAAAATTTGTATTACTATATAAGGCTACACATTTTTATGCATATAAAACATAATTTGAGATCATGCTCATTCTCCTGTAGAATCCAAATATATTACTGAAATAAACCACCTGAAAGAAAAGGGTCTAAATTTTAAAGCCACTTGAAAATGATACAATAACTCAAAGTGTGCACTTTCCTACAATTAGCCATTAGAATACTAATTTACATAGCACTAATACAGCAGACGGGTTTAATTCTCTCTGGGACCTCTTTCTCTACAATGTAATATTAGTCCACCTTCTAAATGATTCGTTGACATGGAAAATGACATATGATTGAGGTTAACTCGTCATCTTTTATTCCTTGCTTGTATGACTTGGGCACAAGAAAATGGATTACAAGGAAACTCAGGAATTTTACAGAGGTCTTCTTGCTTTGAAGGCCCTGGGAACCCTATCAGCGCTAATTGACACTATCAGCTCATATTGAGGAATATGGACCATTAAGTCCAGGATCTTCACCTCTCTACTGATGCACAGTCATAGATCACTGCAAAAACTGGGTTCTGGAGATAGTAAGACCAGTTTGTTTTTCCTGGTTTGAAATGTTAGTTTGCTCCAGCACGTCCTGTGGCCCACATTGCAGCATCTCTGTCTCTCCCCTCTGGCGTGAGGAGACAGGTAAAGAAGCAGACCTACGATAATAATCAAGTCAAATTATCTAACTAAGAAACTGTTTTCCAGATATTACTGTCTCTGGAAGTACATAGCACTTTGTCAAACAACAACAACAAAAAGATGCTTTGAGATTATTTGATCATTATGAGATCATTATTTCTTTAAACACCATTAAAACACAACATAGCATATTTGAATATCATGTTTATTTGACCATGGGACCAAAGCACATTTTATACAATATCTTATGAACCTGGAGTTATTTTAGGGCATGAAATTCACAAGTGATATAGCTGTATCTATATAAGAATAAGACATGTTATAATGAGATTTGACTCAATACATGAATTTAAAGTGTAAATTTGCAACAGTCAAATTGCTTTATACCATGTTAGTTATGTCATTTATAAATAAATAATGTATTTATATCATATTCACTATAAGCAGCTTGAGGGAGCAACTTTTGAAGATCCCCTAGCACCCATGTGGGTGGGGGAAGGGGTCACTGGCAGGACAAAGGATCTCGTAGCTACCAGGGCTCTGGGGTCCCCGGCCAGCCTTCTCCAGCACTGGGTGTGTCTGGGAGCAGACGCGACTGGTGATGCTGAGCTCACCACGGCTTGGACAGCAGTGTCTCGAGAGGAAGATGTCAGGCCCTGGCAGCCTTAGCCTGGGCAGGAGCATAAACTTGCCACTTCAGCCCGGACACAGGGGGAAGCAGGTGTGTTCTGTCTGTTCTCATTTCTACCTAGACGTTAGAAATAGAATCCTGTTGACCTTCATAATGTGTAATACTGCACTTTTCTGTATAAACTAACTTAATCATGACATCTTCATGACTATGTGAACTAAAATGTATTATCCTCATATTTTTAGATTAAGAAAATTAATTTCAGTAAAGATCAATAGCACTACAAAGATGGCACAATAATGAGGGAGAAGTGGCTTTAGAATTCTTTCCTTTTTCAGGGCGAGTGTGTGTGTGCGTGTGTGTGCATGTGCGTGTGCACGCGTGCACATGCGCACAAGTGTGCTAAAACCTGGTCTTGTCACTTTACACTCAGTTTACAGTTTGCAACGTTTTCGTCCAAAATCAATTGGTAAGTGAGGAATCAAGGAACTCTATGTGTAGATATTAATTTTGTAGTCATAAACTGATTTTTACAAAGATGGGAATTTAGGCCTGGAACAATTCTGATGTCAAATAAGGCCGTAGTCAGCACTTGATCTTGTCTTCCCATCACTCCCTTTACACCCACAAATCCCCGGGGGCACGACTGCACCCGTCCCGATCAGGTGGCGGAGCTGCCAGCCCGGCGGCTCAGGGAATGGAGGAGCCCACAGCAAGGGGAGGACGGCGGAGGGAAGGCCGGGCTGCCTCTGCCCGGTCATCAGGCCTCAGCTCTGAGCAACCGGCTCTCTGGACAAAGCCGAAAACATTTCCCCAATTCCTGCCAAAGTGTTTGGATTTCCTGAAACTTTTAATTGTGGTTTGCATTATTCCCCAGGAAATTCTTCCCGAACTTGGACAAATAACAGAAGGCACCAGCAATAGGTTTCTTCCTAAGAATTGTATGTCTCCTGGGCAATGTTTAGGAAGGTCTAAAAAAATATCTCTAGGTCCCTCAGGAATGCGGATATGTTCTCAAAGAACCCAATTTCTCACCTGGTTTAAGTTGGAAATTCCAGATACAACCTCAGCACCTAGAGGGTAGTGTTTGTGAAAGTATGGGCCAAGCATTAAATGAGAAAAGTTTTACATCCGACTGACTTTCAGCAGAGTCTGAGGAGCCGCTGCCCGAGGACAGAGCAGGGCACAGGAGAGACCCACCAGTGACGGCGGCTCCTGGTGCCTCGCGCGTGATTTTCCGTCCAACCCACTGTGAAGGGATCCAGCGGCAATGACGGAACAAACTATTTCTCCTGCTCTTCAATGGACACAGGCTTAACGATAGAGAAAAGTTATTTGTACTATTTACCTATGAAATGGAACTGAAATTGGTGTCCTGCCCATTTAATAATGGAAATGTATATCGACAGCTGTTGAAATGCCTTATGTTGTCTAATCATTCCAAGGTAGCTCAGTGCAAGAAAACAACGTTGCCTTTCTGTTCAGAAATTTTATTTTATTTATTTAAATTTTTTTCCTTTATTGATTTTTAGAGAGAGAGGAAAAGAGAGAGAGAGAGAGAGATAGAAACATCGATGAGAGAGAACATCAATCGGCCACCTCCAGCATGCCCCCCACTGGGGATCGGACCCACAACCTGGGCATGTGCTCTGACCAGGAATCAAACCGAGGACCACTTGGTGCACGTGGGTCGATGCTCAACCACTGAGCCACACCGGCCGGGCCTGTTCAGGAATTTTAAATAGTGACAGAGGATTTGTTTCGAATTTTAAAGATAATTCAGTTACACTGAACTGTATCTATTCTATAGAAGATACAGAATTTTAGAAAATCAACCCTGGAAAGTAAAGGATGTTATATTAGAACTTCTACCTCCCACTTAATTTAGGATGAACGGATTTCCGTTTTAGAAGGCACGTAAATGCAACACTGATCACAAGACAGGCAAGGCGAACTGGGGGGACCGTCACACTCACCTGGCTGCCTTCTTTCTGCCAAAACACAGCCGGCTGCGGGTTTCCTTTCGTTTCACAGGGAAATGTCACCGTTCGACCTTGGGCAACAATCTGATCTCTTGGCCTAACCACAAACTGTGGAGGAGCTACAATTTAAAAGGAGAGAAAGTATGTAAGTATACACTGCTGGCACAGGGAAAGAGAATCAACGGGGAAGTCTGGTTCCAGGCGGACTTCTCAGCGACAGAGGCCACGGCCTCTGACTCACGTTGACGCCTTTGTCCGAACAGTAGGACAGGAAAGGGCACAGGCCAGGAGCGAAGCAAACTCACCAGGAGACGCATGTGCACTGCTGTACATTGTAAGCTCACAGGCCATAAGACTGCACAGAAAAATGGATTTTTATGATATTCTAACTTTTTAAAATTGATTTTAGGGAGAGGAAAGAGAGAGACAGATCGATGTGAGAGAAAAACATTAATCAGTTGCCTCCTGCACACGCCCTGACCAGAGATCGAACCCGAAACCTGGGCACCTGCCACCACCGATGGAGTCACACTGACCAGAGCAATAGTCTAATGTTTCTGAGGAAAAACCATGGTTTGTGAATTTGGCTTCACGTTTTGAATAGATCAAGACAAAATAATTACTCCATTATTCAAACATCTCCTTTCTATAAAGTCAATCTATTGCAAAAACTGCTTGCTTTTGTAATGTTTGCAAGACATGGTATAGGCATGGTGTTTGTTACCAGAGGCATAAAATGCAATCTCTATTCTCAAAGTGTTTATATTCCAGAACTGAAGAGATGAAATGTCGGAGGAGACACTGATGAACTGAAGAGAGGGGGTTACATACAAAGATAAAATATTATAAATAAGTGTATGAAAGTTGTTGATGCTACTTAATTAATTTGATTTCATTTCATTTAGATAATAAGCATCAGATAATTACTATATCCTCCTTCTAGGTAATGAAGATACACAGAGAAAAAGCACAGGTCATGAAGCCATCGAGGAATTTATAGTTTAATGGAAAATATCAAAATACTAAGATGACAACCACAACAAGCCCAAAGCAACAATGATCTAACACGGCGGTCAGCCCTACGGTGGAGGTGCTCCAGGGCTCAGCAGAGGAGCACTGACATTACGGCCACATCATGCCTGTGACAGGGCTCCCGGGAGGAGGGTCCCTTTTTGCTCTGGTAGCTGTGAGAAGCTTTATGCGGGAAGTAGACATTGTGGGGGTTTTGAGGAAAGGGTGGCATTTAGATAAGTGGAGAACTGAACACATTCCAAGCAAAGAGCTTGCTGAGCGAAGCCCAAGAAGCAACAGTACGTCTAGTAACAGGTGTGGTCTGGCAGGAGGGAGGGCTGGGCACGCATATCTGACGGACTGCACAAGAGAGCTGGGCCCAGTCTTAGAATGTCTCGAGACACCAAACTAGTTCGACTCTTTATAAACTGAGTTCGACGCTTTAACCATCTAATGAATGAAGGATGGCTTGTGAGGGAGATGCATTAGTGCATAAATGAGGAAGCCCAGTGCAATGGTGTAGGTGCAGACAATGAGACCTAGACACAAGTAACTTCAATAGAAAGGAAAACAAAGGGTAGGAGTAAAAATCTCAAGAAAGTTCTCATTCCAATTGAGGACTAATTGTAAAGAAAACAGTAAAACTGAAAGTGTTCACAAGTACATCTTCACACCCAAACCACTCCTACTGAAGGAAAAACAGCCTGTTTATTCCATGGTCTTCCGAATCATCTGTTTTCACTTTAAATCGTTGCTCATGCTCAAAAATGTAAGACCAAGAAAACACTTTAAAATCAATTCTAATTTTTAGTACCTGGTGTTCATGGCAAAAATCCTGAAACTTGAACTCTAAAAAAGTCCAACAATAATTGACATTCACTCAGTAAAGGCCTTCACCCAGAATGCCTTCATTTCTTCAAGTACCTAAGTGCAGGTCCAAGAACAGAGTGAATGTTGGGGGCCTCAGACATAGAGCCAATTACTCGTTCCAAGAAGAACACTAGCAAAGAAATAGAAGCTGCATTTTTTAGAAAAGTCACTGAGAGTTGTGGTTATTTTTTGGTGTTCCACATACAGCCTCCTAATTCAACACATTCAACACATACCCCAGGGACAGAAGAAATAAATCTACTAAGTAAAATTTTCTCCTATAACTACAGGTAACAGAAAAGTCTGTTCAAAAGGATGAAGCACTCAGATTTATGGATCTATTTGAACAGCATGTGGTTTATGTTGCCTTGTGTTTTCAGGAGATTACTTGCTTCTTACAATCTTCTGGTTATTTCTACACAATTCCACTCAATCAGCAGATGCATTGATTTTTTTGTTCCATGTTTTCTAACAAGAATGTTAGTTTAAGTCAATGTTACAAAAGTACTTTAGGAACAACTCTTAAAACACTGCAGTGCCCGTCTTTCAGTAGAGGTGTAAAACCACCAGATATTTATACCAAAGAGAAAACAAGATAGGTCTCTATCATTTATAATATCCAAAAAAATTATATCTATTAAGAAAATGTTAAGCCCTGGCCAGGTGGTTCAGTTAATTGGAGCATTGTCCTATACACCAATAGGTTGTGGGTTTGATCCCAGGTTGGGGTGCATATCAGGGGCAGCCAATTGATGTTTCTCTCTCTTTCTCTCTCTCAAATCAATAATAATAGTAACAACATATCCTCAGGTGAGGATAAAAAAAGTTAAAAGTTAATGTATAGCTATTTACTTCTTAGTAATCCTATGAAAAAAAAAGTTTAGTGACAATATGGACATTAATTAAGCAAGTATTGAGCAATTAAGCTCCTATCTCATTACAAAAAACATAAAAAGCCAGTTTAATCATAACAGGTTAACAGTCTCTGATAAAAGTCACATATTCAGCTTAATAGTTCATTTGTATTCCTTTGAACCAGAAACAATTTAAATAACTAGTTATTTAACTAGTTAGTAAAAACTTAGAGCCCTATGAGCTATAAAGTTCTTTTTTATTTAGTTTTTAGAATATAATACATATGATTAAAATCATCACATGAAAAAAGTGCAAACATTTTTATATTATGCTTACTCTGCATCTATTATAGTAAAATTACCATCTGCACTTTAAATATAACTACAGTCTTTCTTAAGTGTGATTTTTGAAGTTTTCAAAATCTTTATGGTAGATTAATGATTTTGCAAAATGCTTTTGGAATCCAGATCATACAGTTTTAACACAGCTGTTAAAACACAGCCCCTGAAATATGAACTGGCGAAAGACCACATCTATGCATCCACTTATTTTAAAGAATATGATTCATCCATTTATTCATTCAAAATGCAGTCATTGACTCAAATTATGAGACATTCTACTTAATACAGGGGATGAAAAGTCAAATTAAAAATAAGTTGTTCTAGCCAATGGCAGAGACCTAAGTAAATACATAGATAAAAACAAATACTGTCGAGCATGGTTTGTGAAATAGTAGGAGAGTGCAGGGCGTTGGGCAGGAAAGCGTAGACGCGCAGAAAACTCGACCAGGTGATGAGGACAGACGCCAAGAGTGGCCACGCTCGAGCTTGGTGTTGATGCACAAGTGGAAGTTCACTGGGTGAACAGCAGTAAGATCCCTTGGGCTAGAGAAACAGACATGGGGCCTGTGGATCTGGATGTGTTAGGGGAGTGTAAATGAGCTTTAAATATAAAATCAGGGGCGTAGAAGAGATGTAGGGCAGAACCAGATAATTTATGTTGACCTTAAATTTTGCCCTGAAAAGTATGGAGATCTGTTTAAAGATGTTTATGCAAGAAAGATAAAAGATTTGTGTTTTACAAAGAATGCTATTCCAAGGAGACAAGGTCAGAAAAACTTAGTAAAGTGGAGCACAACATTAAATTGAAAATTGCCACTTACAATAGCACCTAAAGAGAACATTTCAGCAGAACTCTTAAAGGACAAAGAAATTCTGTGACATAATTGTAATATTTACCATTAATTATATAATCCCAAAATACCAGGAAATTATAGTTTTGAGTGATTCCCCAATAATGAATTTAAAGACCTGCATCGAAATCCTCTCAGCATTTGTGTTATTCATGATACAACATATCCTTTCGTGTGATGTTTACTTACATTGTACTTTTATTCCAAGTTATTTTAAATACATGGTATTTCTAATGTACTATATATTTTCTTGTCACCAGGACTGAAGCCACACTAACCTCCCTGGAACTGGAATTGCAAAAAAAAAAAAAAAAGGAGCCTGGCTGGGGTTGCTCAGTGGTTGAGTGTCAATTCATGCACCAAGAGGTCCCTGGTTCGATTCCCCATCAGGACACGTGTCCAGAATGTGGGCCTGATCCCCAGTGGGGGGCATGCAGGAGGTGGCCAATCAATATTCTCTCTCATTGATGTTTCTCTCTCCCTCTCCCTTTCTCTCTCTCTAAAATCAATAAAGAAAAAAAATTAAATATATTAAAGCATTTAACAAAGCAAAGGATTTAAAGAGTATTCAATCTCTGAAAATGTTCATTCTTTCCTGTCAGCATTGAAAGTTGACCACAAAAGAGTTGCATCAATCACTTTTACTTCCACAGACTCCCCGCCCAAGATCTATATTGCAATCTTCTGTGAAGGGATATCAGCTTGAAGGAATTTAGTTTTGAGGTTTTGAAATGAAAACTGCATCAATAATTCTTCCGATAGCACTTCACAGTTCCGGTATTTCTGCCAGGTGCCGGTGAAAACGGCCTGAAAAGACAGTACTTGGCTGATGGTACCAGTGGGAGGGAGTAGGCAGGGAGGTGGCATTTTGTCAACACAGCTCAACAACATAAAGTGTTTTGTACATGAGATGGAGTTTCTGCGATGGCTCTCATTGAATATAAGAAAACATGATTAGGTCCTCATGATGACAATTCAAAAAACACTTTAAATCCAAAGTGAATTACAGAGGGCGAGTTATAGCTCCAGAAGAATATGCTAGTTACAGAAATGGCAATTCTCTTCTGTATTTCTAAGTCAAAAGACAATAAAATACATATTTATATCCTCTCTAAAACCCAAAAACATTAGAAGAGTCTTTGGTAACGATGATGTAATAACCTACTCGCTTAATCTGTTAAGTGATGAGAT